TAGCTGTCAAGGATTTAGTTTGTACTGCCCTTCGCCACCTAATCATATTACATCTGACATCGCGATCTCAAATCAGCACGGATGACGCGGAGAACAGATCACTATGAAAAATAGGGGTAAACGGTCGATGTGTGCACAAAAAGAAGACACATGGTTGATCTCATTCGAGGGAAAATATGCTGAACTAATTTAATAAGTCTGGCATCAACCTATCTTCTGAGCCATTCACCGAACAGCAGCAAACCGCTTTTCTTGCAGCTGGCGATCATAAAGGTTGGTTTCCACGTAGCAGGTCTGCGCGGCCCTACGAGACGGACACGTCCAAGCAAACGAAGTTTTTCCACCGCCACTACCGCTTGTGGGTTGATCGCCATCACTCGATCATTGCTGAAGACGTTACCCTTTCTTCCGGTACTTCAAAAACGTACTTTATCCAATCCATCTAATTACGAAAGGCAACGAGCCGACTTGGCTTCCCTGCAACAGACAGCGTCCATAAGACTAGTCTCCGATGAGATCGGCATCATGTAAAAACCTCATCGGATCTCACATTTGTTAGTACACTCGATTCATTAGCAGCAACGTTTCTTCAACATCCGTCGATCTCAGAGCTAGCTTAATTCGCGAAGATCAGCGCGTTCGTTCATCTCGGATTGCTTCCGGAGCTAAAAAGAAAATTTCGCCACATCGACCTCAGGAAGGCTGTTTACCAATTCGAACACTTGATCATCGTTAAAGTCTCGTACTTTCGATCGATACTCGGACACATAGCCCATCCAATGCTTGAGCATCGGAAGACTGGCGAACCGGCTTCGCGTATCCCCGATGGCTCTCGATTTCAACGACAGGATGGGCATCATGTAGAAAACCTCTCTAGGATCCGCCTTTGATATCAAGCACAGACCAAACATCAGGCGCAACGTTTTTGTTGGATCCAGCGACCTCAGAACAAGCTTCTTCTGCAGCCCTCCAGCGAGGCCATCCATGCCAGGTTTCTTTCGAAGCCAATGAAAAAAGTTTACCAACTGGGCCTCAGATCGGCTATCGCCCACCAACACATCGATCACTTGGTCTTGGCTGAAGTCGTTCCACTTGAGTTGGTAGTCGCGTACATATACCAGCCAATATCTAAGCTTTGGAAAGATCACAGGCCACGATTTAATTTCACTTGCTCCACCGGAAGTGCTTTTCTTCACTGATAGAGACATCATGCGGAAAGCTTCGGCAGGAGTCACCTTTGCCCCTAACCAAACATTGAAGACCAATGGCAAAAGGGTTGGCTCTTCAGCAAGAAGGGCCCTCTGCATCATTGCGGCGCGCTCTTTCAATTCAGGGAAAAACCACATCTCTTGAAAAAGTCGTACCAGCTCTTCCCCGTGTCCATCTCGTATCAAACCCGTAACCAAGTCATCACCACGAAATGATTGGCCAGGCGTGTGGAACTTCGTGAACCACTGCATCACTTGATCCTCATTGACGACGTTCGACTTCTCGAAGATCTTGGAAAACTTGCTTCGGTCGATTGGAAAATCCAGCGGGACCGAGAGCCATCCGTTCCATCCTGCAACGTGCGTTGATCCCTCGAGAACGGATGAGGTCTGTGGCAGGCCAAATCGCTCCTCTTTTTCCTCGTGTTTGTCGCCACTCTTGTCCCCACTTCCATCTTGTAGCTGCACGGGTATCGGCTTCACGGACGCGGTCACCTCTCCGCGAGGAGGAAGAGAGCTCAAATTCAACGCAGCAACGGTGGTGGGAGTACCGTCTGGAGCTGCCGATTCAGCCTCCTGTAGTAGAAGGAAGACGAACGAGGGCCAGAGTGGACGCATGACGGGCGACTGATGGCTACACGACAAACTGAAGAATGAATGGTGGGGAGTCCGGTCGGGAGTAAGTCGCAAAATTAGCACTTAAAACCGGCAAAAAAGATATGGTACGATGATTTAGCGTGGTACACATTAAGCCCGTGCTGAAGTGGTGCAGGTATTGCGAGTGGTGCCGGTATTGTGACTTTTGCCGGTATTTAGTGCAGGTATTGCGACTTACTCTCCGCTCGGCGACAAGATGTGGAGAATGTAGTGCATCTTCTTTCTCCGAGCGATCTGATCTATGTACCCCTCCTTCAACGCTTGCTGAAGTTCAAAATATTAGTAATTAGTTAGCGCGAGGAAAGGGACCGTTGGTGTAATTCAAATTTAAACTTTGTTGCGGGAAAAATTGCAAGCCCGAGGGTGAAAGAACCAGTGCGACTGTACGCAAGGTTAAATGCCGAAGAAAAAAATCGTTTTTATCAGTGTGTGTCTGTAAATAACGTTACTAAGTACGATCTAGCCGTCCCCCTCATATTAATATAAGCATATCCGAAGTCACTCTTAATATCGATCACAATCGTTGCACACGCATGTGATTTACTTGAATTCGATCAAAGGTGATTTTAATCACATATAGAAATGCTGGACTCTCACAAGCAAAGACCAGTCGCGTTGCCCTACCATACTATACTGAATTTACGTAGACATTGACCGCATTATGCTCCTTTTTCAGCGTCTGCTGCTGTTGTATACTGTTTAGCGACTTAATTCATTCTATGAACTGGATTACGTATATAAAAGGGCGAGCTCCAGATCTTGCTCCAGTATCGAACAGCGAACAATGCAAAAAACAAGTACTGTGGGAAATAGTTGCGAGGCTGAAGAGTGAAGCTAGTAATTATGCGCTAGGTTGATGCTAAACTTTTAGATCGTAATATCGGTGTGTCTATCTGTTATTAACGCGGTTGGGTGTACCTTCTGCGTACTAAGTGCGATCTAGCCTGCCCCCATCATAGGTCGATTGGGATGATAGGTGTCACTACATAGGTCGGTCGCTAGTTGCGACCGTATTTGTAGTAAAAGACGTACGACTAAAGCACGCATGCGATGAGCTCAAAGGTCGTACAAAAATAAAAAATTATTAAAACCAAAAAAATAACGCACGACCGCTCAGAGCTCAGACACTAATGCATATCTAACACAATAGAAACAGTATCAATATAAGTATCTCTACTACCAGTTGCTGTGCAGCAATCAGTTTGTCCATCCACATCTATACGTGCCACTCATTGAGTTACACCGCAACAGGCAGCAGTAAGTAAGTTGTATTGGTCTTGTGTTTATTATCTCATCTTTATTTAGACTGTACTTAAATGTTAATTTATCGTGTTTAGTTGCATAATAATGGTTTATTGGAATGTCATGAGTCGCTTTTTAAAACAAAAGTGATTGAAATCCATATCTGTCGAAACTGCATTAAAAAGTGTTTCAAAATTACCGATAGACTTTCAGGATTACATGAAAAAAGAACTTAACCATCCCTTTTTATCCATTAAAAGAGTAGCTATAGAGCTAGGCACGCAGCGGAAAAAGAATCTCGATTGAGAGCTCGCATTTCTCACGAAAGACTAAGTACCTTTACCTCGACATTAAGTAACCACAGTAAGCCGCCAATCTGAAACATTAGACGAGTCTGTGGCTAGACATGATAAGAACAATCCAAGTTTTTATATCCTTGATGTATTCGCACAAGTGTCCACTTTTTATCAAAATTATTTTAACATATTGTGTAGCAACTTCCTCTCGCCGTCAAAGTGATCCGGAAGCTAAATCCTCATTAGACATGCTCGGAACAGTCAAGGATTAAAAATGCATGATGTATTTGCGCACGCTTGTAATTTCATCTCCTTTTTAATGTTTCGTTTAGCAACCACTGCACGCCGCTATAATGAAACAGCAGTTGATACTCAGGCTAGGCGTGCTCGTGATATCGAGGTACTCGTTTGCAATATAAATGTCCATATATACACCCCCTATTGTATCTATGGTACCACCGTATGCTAATAACTAACTCGTTATGAAGAACTAACTAGTGCAGCTCGTCGTCATAAAGGTTGGAAATCAGCAATTCCTTACAATTCTCCAATACAGGTTGTCTAGAAGATTACTACACAGAAACTATGCAGCCGAACCTTCTATCGATATGGTATTGACGACCGAATACCTTGACCAGCTTATGGCGGATAAAAATGGCCTCTTCATGATCAAGTATGGTATCGTAAAGTTGTGCAGATTTCCAATTGGAAGTGCGCAAGTACAACCCAACATCATTGTTCAAACTATCGTGGATGTTGACCACTACCGACGTGAATAACGCTTTATCAAATTATGTTTGATTACGCTGCAAGAGAGGTGTGCTATGATGCGTACTATACAAAAGTACAAATTTATAAATGATACAGAAACGAAAGTTTGTATCTTCTGCTGGAAGAAGTTTTACCTGTGATAACGACATGATACCTGATGATTCATTTCTACCTAACCTAATAAATTTCTTGAGAAAGCCAAAGATGGGTGAAGAAATGCTGTTGTCGCCCTTTTTCCATGTGATGTCGGTTTTTGAGCCGAAGACTGGTCCGAATATCCATCACGGTTATGCTGCCAACTTTCGACAACACTATGCAGCATTTATTGATGAAGTGAGACGTCTGTCTGTAATTTTAATCTTTATTATTTTGAACGTAATGGTCTGGATAGCACATCTGTCGATTGTAAGATCAATAGAGCACATGTTACAAGCGATTGAGAGATTTCTGGTAGAGCATCACCCAACATTTTTGAGAAGAAATACAACTTTCAGCCATGATAATTGCAGTTTACCATTTAATCTTGACGTACCACAAGAACTTTCCGAAGTAATTGTCGTAGATAATAAAATTGTAGAAGCATATGAAGGTCCTAATCCCATCGTTTGTGATGATTAAGATAAAGTGCCGTATCACTTATCTGTTTAGGATACTGGCAACGAATTTCTGGAAGCTGATCGTTTGCATCGCTCTTTTGCATGGCCTGATGCTTTGTCGCAGCCAACAAACGAGTTCGAGACACATTCCATTGCCGCGTTGGAATTTTAATATCAAATCCTTTCGGATTTGCAGACTATATCTAACCTGATCGTCAGTTTCGTATCGAAGACTGATACAAATGCTCACCTCCTTCTTTTTGTCGAGCTGTATCCTCTTACTGGAAATCTCTATAACCCTTTAGTAGGGCATGGTCGATAAATTTTTTGGATGAATAAAAGGTTAAGACGTCATCGGACGTTATCGGAATCTACTATTTTACTTGAGTAATAATTCTGGAGACGCAGCTCTATAAAAATTTTGAGGTTTACGAAAAATGGAATTCGACAACACATGGGTTAATTAATGAAAAGTCTTCCAGTTAATTCTGCAAAACTAACTGGATCCGACGCTACTTGTTCTCATCAACGCCAAGAATTAGCAGCAATTTTCAGCAAAGCGGATTTAACACCACATTTTTTACTTTATATCTTTGCCGATTACCTTGTAGACGATCTTCATATTATGATGACTGGTAGTCTTATTAAATTAAGTAGAAGCTTTCGTGATGTCGCCGAAAATTCTCATCTGCTTTACTGATACTTTCTGCTTGTCTGTATAAAAAACGGCCTCGACTCTGAATGGATATGGCGCTTCTATTATTGGCAATATCGACCCACATATAAGCTCAGGGTGTTGTCAGGCTCAAAAGGATCATACACATCGAGACTGGCTGCCTCTACTAGTAGTGGAAGATAGGATGATGAACAGCTAAAAAAATTCTGCTATAAATCGTGATTACTCTGAGCAGCATCAAGAAATTTCCTTTTGCGGGAAGTTAGCAAAGCAAAGAGTCATTGCTTACGCTGATAACCTATTAAAGGCGATGAATTCACGTCCGCGACTTATAGATGATTCATTGACCGATCCAGATCATCATTAGTGTACAAAACAATTGTTAAAATTTTAAGGCAATCCTGATTTTCTGGATGCTGATTATCTGGAGCTCTAATCACTTTCAGAGTCAATTTTGTCACTTTAACGGATATTGCAAGTCTAAAAGGTTAAAGGTTGTACATTTAAAAAAGGTAATGTGACTTTAAGGCAGTACGACAACTAACTTTAAGGACATCGATTTATCTGTGCGAGACAAATTTGAATTCGAAGAAACGACCCATTATAAAATATGCATATCCGGGCCATGTAAATTATTGAAGAGATAACGTGGACGTTTTAGCTAATACGTGATCGTCAAGCTGCCTGTATTATATTAATTTTCTTTCATAGGTTACAAATTTTTAGGTCTTTGCAGAACGTCTACAGGTCCGTTTTGCAACATGCACAGGACATAGATAATCTAGTTTTCTAGATGAGACTCTAATGATTTAGTGCGCTAATCGTCGAGATGCGGGAGGGAGTGAAGCCTCAAGGATGATTTATAGTGGTAAGCACTGTCACCATTGTTCAAGATTGTAAGAAGATCTCACGAAGTCACCACTCAACAGTTGCGCATCGACAAGTCTACAAGGAAGTTTATCATTGCAGACAATTTGCTAAATTTCTTTGCAAAATGTGCACAAATTCAGCCGACAAGATTCAGATTGAATTATAAAGCACCAGCCTAACTTGAATATATTATGACGAGATTGAAAAAATATGGCTACTAAGCTTTAGCAGAGCTACTAGGCGCTACCTAACAGAGGAAGTGTAAGACTCAAAAGGCTTCTTAGTCATAACAAACTAACAATGACGTACAGTCGTTCAAGCGCATAAGCTTAACAATCCCGAATCCAAAGATATTAAGATTCACAGAATCACACACTAACTAGTCATTACTAGTTAAACAATATTAGACGCCTTCGCAAGGTTCTCACTCTTTTAACACACTATGCCTTGACTAGACACTAGCGTCCAGCGATATAAAAGGGAAACTTAACTTTTTATTCTTTGACTACG